GATATTTCCTCAGTCCATCCATAGATGATGTGGGTGAATTGGAATAGCCGCTGTTCTCATTGAGAAAGCCTGGTCTGTCTTTCACTTTAAAAGGATCGGATTCCTCTGGTCATCTCACCCAGGTCAGGTTGGACTTCACGCTGCAAACAGCCCGTGCCTCTCACTGCATGTGGAGCGCAGTGCTGCCTGYCGGAGCGAAGCCCACAGACCTTGTGATCCTCGGAGGACTGGGAGGCAAAATATCTCCAGGTCTGAGCCTGACCCTGTCTCTTTTCTTCCCTGGGGCTTAACGAGACTSTTAGGATTTGTGAAAGTGCAAGGAGGTGAGGAGCGGTGTCCATTGACGGGTGATGCTGCCGGGTGTTGAGGTGCCCCGTGGTTGGGCAATTGGTTGATACACCCCCCAAGCCCTGTCCCTCTCATGGGCCACAAGATCCCAGGCCCAGAGAGGGCTCCAGTTCAGGCAGTGCTGCTGCTGCTGCTGCTGCTATGAGAGTAAGTCCCAGGTGCCCAGCTGGGGACGAGGTTGCCGTGACTGGGGCCACCAAAAGCCCATGACAGCAATTCAGCAGATTCACCAGGAGCGTGTCCTGCAGCCACTGCTGCTCTGGGCCTTGCAGATCCCTGTGTGCTCCTCTACCCRGCCCTTCTGCCCCAGCTGCCCCCCGCTCCAGCATCACCCTCCTATGGGTTGCACTTGCCAACATGAGTGCAGATGCTGAGCACCTCCCCGCAGGTGCACTGGCGGTGAGTGTCCCCATATGGACGGCTTCTGAGGTGCCCCCCAACACCAGTGCCTCGCTGGTGGATGTTGGCTGGCAAGGGGAGGCAGAGTGGGGCGGGAAGGCAGGAGAGATTGCGGGTATGGTGGTCATACAGTGCATCTATGCCCTGGTGTGTCTGCTGGGGCTGCTGGGCAATTCCCTGGTGATCTTTGTCATCCTGCGCTACGCAAAGATGAAGACAGCCACCAACATCTACTTGCTCAACTTGGCCATTGCTGACGAACTCTTCATGCTCAGCATCCCCTTCGTAGCCACATCAGCTGCCTTGCACCATTGGCCCTTTGGCCGGGCCTTGTGCCGTACTGTGCTGGGTGTAGATGGGCTCAACATGTTCACCAGCGTCTTCTGCTTGACTGTGCTCAGCCTGGACCGCTACATCGCTGTGGTGCACCCGCTCCGAGCGGCCACCTACCGCCGGCCTCGGGTGGCTAAGATGGTCAATGGGGGCGTGTGGCTGCTCTCCTTGCTGGTAGCCTCGCCCATTCCCATCTTTGCTGGCACCGCCACCACCCATGATGGCCAAGCAGTGGCCTGCAACCTGTTGTGGCCAAGCCCAGCCTGGTCAGCTGCTTTTGTGGTCTACACCACGCTGCTGGGTTTCCTGCTGCCCGTGCTAGCCATGGGCCTGTGCTACCTGCTCATTGTGGGCAAGATGCGGGCAGTGGCACAGCGCGTGGGCTGGCAGCAGCGACGGCGCTCCGAGGGCAAGCTCACGCGGCTGGTGCTCATGGTGGTGGCCATGTTCGTGGTGTGCTGGATGCCCTTCTACGTGGTACAGCTGGTGAACCTCCTGCTGCCAGGCCGCCTGGATGCCACTGTGAACAACGCCTCGCTCATCCTCAGCTATTCCAACAGCTGCGCCAACCCCATCCTCTACGGCTTCCTCTCGGAGAACTTCCGGCACTCCTTCCACGGCGTGCTGCGGCGCTGCTTTGACAGCAGCCTCTGCTGCTGCCACACCGACTCGGAGGCAGCCGAGGAGGAGGAGGAAGAGGAGCCTCTTGACTACTGTGCCGCCCCGCGGGGCGATGACAAGAGCAAGGGCTGCATGTGCCCGACACTGCCCTGCCAGCAGGAGCCTGTGCACCCCGAGCCCTGTTGCAAGCCCGGCACCCTCCTCACGAAGACCACCACCTTCTGACACACCAGGATCCAGAGGTGCATCCCCGTCTGGCACCCTGCCTTGTCATGGCCAAGTGAAGGACAAGCAAGTGCCATGGAAAATCCCTGCTCCTGCTGCAAGGAGAGACTCCAGCCTGCACGGTACCCCCAGTGTGAAAGGCACTCTTGCTGCTTCCTTTCCTTCTTTCCTCCTGCTTTGCGCAGACATTGCATGGCAGGTCTCCAGGAATTACTTCTCCTGCAAGGACCTGTGGGAAGTCCTCCCAGGGATATCTGTTTTCCCTTTCTCCCTTCTACTGTGCTGTGCCGGACTCTCTGTGGAGTTCCATCTGTCCTCACATTTCTACCAGACCAGAGCAGCTGGAAGTACTGGGTCCAAACCTTGCAAGAGGTAATCTCATTGTGACTTTTCCAACTGTTTTCTCTGGGAATAAGACCCAGCTCCAGACTGGTGTGTAAGATACAAAGGACAGAGCCTTGTGACACCTCCTGGCCCTTGAGGGAGGCAGTCAGAGGGGCGAGCTGCAAGGACAGCATGGGGACAACCACAGCTGCATCTGCAGAGCGCGTGGGGGCCACACTGACCCAGCTGCACTGGGTTATGTCCCCTCCTTGGCTTGGATTTACACAATGGGAGCTCTGCCCTGGACACAGGGCCAGGACGTGCCGGGCTTGGGAGCATCTTGGGTGGGCGGCCGCGCGGGTGTGATCAGGGAGACTCACGCAGAGCAGTGTCACACAGAACCCATCTGCCACTGTGCTGCGAGCGGCCGCTCCTCAGGGAGCTGGGCAGCTCAGCTAAATAAAAAGCCATAACACTGGCCCCCAAGGTGATTAATAGCATCTACCAGGTAATTGTTACCATCGCCCTCACTGCCTGGGAAGGCGCCTGTGCTCCTGCACCCGTGGAAAGGACCCATTGCTCTGAGCGGCCCAGGTATCCTGGGGAAAGGAGCCCCAGGAGCCTCCCAGGGTCYGGGTTTGCAGGGTTTGGAGCCAGAGCGTAGAGCAAGCATGGGCAGCATCGCTGCAGAGYGCCTGGCTGCCAGCGCTTTGGCCAGGGGGCCTGTGCCCGGACGCGTAGCTCGCTAGTGCCTAGGACTCGGGAGGTTCTTAAAAAATATATATATGCGCATACAGATTTGCATATTCACACATGCAAATATATATATATATATATATATGTGGAGCACACAGGGCAGTGCTTAATAAAGCTGTAAATATCCTCCCTATAGGAGGTCCAATAGATATCCTCTAGCCTGGGTTCTTTGGCCAGTGGGGCCCCCATTCTGGGCCCTTGGCTTTGCAAACGTGGCAGTACCCGCAGAATCACCCCAATGAGCACACACCGCAGGGCCAGGTTGCTCTGCAGGCTGAATTTGGAGCAGGGGAAAGAGTAAAAGGTGAGAGGAGCATCCTCTGGTGAAACTTTCCTCCTTGCCACTTGGGAGTCGAGATGTGGTTTTTAATTTTTAATCCCTTCAACTCAGGGCTTCTTCCTCCGGCTGAGTCCACATGTTGATTTGAGCATTAGTTGTGACCTCCCTGCAGTTAGTGTCCCCCTCAGCAACTTCACCTTTTTTTGCTTTAGAAGCAACACTTTGTTCCAGGGTAAAAGAGTGGAAAAATTTTAAGCAGCACCCCTTGGACCACRCTGCAGCTGCCAACACCAGACCAGGATCCAGGGGCCTCTGGGTTATGGGCATGATGGAGATCACTGCTGATGGGGGACAGGAGGGTCCCCAGGAAGGTCCCCATCCTCATATTTAACCAACAGCTGGCACTGCAGAAAAAATAAAATAAAATAAAATAAAATAAAATAAAATAAAATAAAATAAAATAAAATAAAATAAAATAAAATAAAATAAAATAAAATAAAATCATAAGCAGGCCCCTCAGACAGGGCAGTGGAGTCCTTCACCAGCCAAATGTTCTCTGTCCTCAAGGAGATGAAAAACAAGACTTGGGGGAGAGCAAATAAGATTAAGGCCACTTGAGTTCTGCGAGTACCGCATTGGGGTTTATTGCTTTTGGGCTAGTCCAGAACCTGCCTGTTGCTCCCATATGCCTCCCAACAGACACATGCTCAGCTGTAAGAAACACTGTCCCTTGCCCTGAAAAACGTGCAGCTCCTTCCAGAGGAATACCAGCTCCTTTTGTGTTTTGTTCGCCCTGCTGCACTCTTCATTTCTAATATGCTACAGTCAGTTAAAATATTTATGCTGACTCTGGTGCCTGCATGTGGGGCCATATCGCACCCTCCATATTCCCAAATATATTTTCAAATAACTGAGTGATCAGGGCTGGAGAGTACTTAAAAGACATAGCTACAAAACTTCTGCATGGGGCCTTTTTTATTTATTTTTTCAGTGGTTAAACTCAGATTGGCAAGTCTTTAGGCTGATTTGCAGGTAACCGCTAGTTTGACAGGTCTTGCCTTGAAGGAAAGCAAAAACATTCGTCGCTTTGAAGATAGAAAAAAAACAATTAAACATGGAGTATTTGGAGGGATGTGGCAAAGTCCCACAGCCAAAACAATAAGGTGGAGCTCAGGGCAACAAGGTCTGAGCCTGCTGGTGTTGCCTGGAGCTTATGGGGCAGAACATGTGCTCCCTGTCTTGCACTAAGGAACCCTGAAAAATTCTGGGGAAAAAGAAAAACTGAGGAAAAAAAAAAGAAAGACTTAAATCTAGAACAAAAACAGGCCTGAGAAAAGCAGGTCAGAGAAAAAAAAAAAAAAAAGAAAAAGCTGAATGCCGAATTTCAGAGCAGTTAGAGAAGAGGAATTTCAGCAGATGTCGTATTTCAGTGCAGCTTCATCAAGGGCTGAGGAGGCCAGAACCTCTCTCCATCTTCTAGGAAAAAACCTTTCAATTGCCCTTTCAATAAAATCCATCCTCCCCTTTCCCCCCCCGCAAAAAAATATTCATGTTCTGCAGCTCCTCGGCAAAGCAGACACCAGACCAAGCACTTCTGCACAGATCTGCACTTTCTATGAGAAAACTGAAMAGCACCGAGTCTTTCTTGCTCCATTTCCCACCGTTTCTTTTCTATTTCAACTGGGTTTGTGATTTCTGAGATTAGGGGAAAAAAAAGAAAAGGAACATTTCACTACCAGATTTTTATAAACCAGATAGTAAAAGCTTTATTGGTCTACACACAAAATCACAGGGTGCTTGTGCATCACATAGGATATATTTCCAATAAATAAATAAGTATTTACAAATGTGCTGGGTGTACAAAAACAAGGGATTGAACCTTTTCCATCAAGAAAGCTACAACTCACAAAAACATTATTTATTTTCCTTGCCCGGTCATTCTGGCACATCAGAGGGAAAAAGGAAGAGGAACAAACACAAAATCCTTGGGAGCTCAGCATTCCTGATGCACAAGCGGACGGCACTGCGTGTGCCCTGTTCTCGGCTGCTTTGCAGGCAACATCCTGGAGTCCTGTCAAACAGACTTTTGACCCCCCAAACCTAACTTTTCCTGCAGGGAAACCCAGCCATAAACTTGTTGGTAGAAGCTGGGTGGCTGCCGGTGGAGGCTGGCACACAGGCAGGCATCAGCTGCACCTGATAAAGGCTGAGCGTGTTTTCTTGCACGATGCATTTGCTGGCACCATGCTGGGTTTGCAGCACTTCCTAAGCCCATTGTCTAATGTTTTGATAAAAGACATGGAAAAATACACAGAATCGTTTTCCCAGGTTTTCCTCCAGTCTGCRGCTGGAAGGACAACATGGATCCGGCTCCTGCTAGAGCCACTGGGAGTCCTGCCACTGGCYCCTGCATGAACAGCGTTTTCGCCTCAGCCCCGATCCTGGCAGGATTTAAGGAAAAATGGGGGAAAAAAGCTTTGCCAGTAGGAGCAGGCCAGTCAGCAGGCTCAATAGCACTGGGACATAACTGCTGCATAACACTTTAATGCAGCAATGGGACAAATTCCCAGCAGAAAATTGTGTGGAAGACACAAGGCACAGTTGGCTTTGGAAAGCCCTTTCCTGAAAACGAAATGACTCTTGGCATCCCCATTTAACTCTTGCACTCTCCCCCCCACCAAATCTATAAGAAGGAATAAAAAAATTGGACGTTTTAGCCCTGAAACAGTAATGTCCCAGCTCTTGCTTTTGGCTTTATGCAAAAAGCACCCAGCTGCTAGAGGTGAGACAGATAGAAGAGAAAGCACAGGGAATTTCTACCAGTGCTGCAGACTGGCGCAGGCAAGCCAGAAGTGCTGGACCAAAGGATCTTTGCTACTTCTTTCATAATTAACCAGTTTAAAAGAAAATTAAACCGAATCTAAACAACCACAGGGGCATCCCCCGCTCCTCGCTGTCCCTGGAAAACCTTTACCTCCAGGCAGGTGGCTCCTTTCAGCTGAGGAGAAGCTCAGGTGGCCCAGCCGACAACCACCAGGCAAGAGCGCACGTCAGGTCCATCGCTAGAGAATTAAATAAGTCTCTTGGGTGCTCTTGCCTCCCCATCAAAGCGGGCTTGAAGGACAGGTCCGAGCACGGACATTCCTCCCCATCACACAGGTAGGGTCCTTTGGTGGAGCTCCACGCCAGTCGCTGAGCCACACAAAGGGAAAAGCTGAGGAAGGTCTGACACTCTGTGCAGAGGGAGCGGGGATGGAGAAGCTCAGCACAGGACYGTGCCCTTCTCATCCTCCCCAGCCTTCGCAGCGAGTATTGCCGATGCTGGCAGAAACACGGCCAGTTTGGAAGGGTGGGGGTGATCACAGCTTTTACTGATCTTTTGTTCAATTAAAAACATGAAAAAGATTTAAAGCAGTCCCCTTCACCTCCCTCTCGCCGCTGCGCCCAGCTACCCTACAGTTTCTGGCTGGAAGAGGCGCATGCTGGGGTCACCTGATGAAGCCCCATCTCCTTTTCCGCGCTGCCGCTGCACTTGTAATCCATGCTGGAGGGAGACCGGCAGCGCTTCTTCACCAGGTGACACACCAGGGCCAGCAGGACCAAAACCATGGAGAGGATGCCCACCGTGATGCCCACCAGCACGCCAGGGTGCAGGGGACCTGCCTTTGGCGGTGTCCTGGTGGCGGCAGGCACCTCRGTGCTGGGCTCCCTGTCGCCCGAGTACATTTCCTCCTCATCACCCACTTTTTTGCACCGGTGCTGGTCGACGGGCATGTAGCCCGCATGGCAGTGGCAGGCGTAGCTGCCAGGGTGGTTCGTGCAGTTGTGCTCGCAGTAGTTCATGTCACACTCATTGATGTCGATGCAGAACTTGAGGCCGCCCTCGCGGTCGTCTAAGATGAAGCCATCGGGGCACTCGCAGGACTCCTCAGTGCGCGGGTCGCACTCGGCCGGGCACTCACTGCGGTTGCAGTGCAGCACGCACTGCGTGGCCTGCTGGGGGTCCACGATGTAGCCACTAAAGCAGTGGCAGCGGTAGCCGCCGGGCACGTCCTCGCACACGTGCGCGCAGTTGGCCTTGCGGCAGTGCGGCACRGCGCGGCAGTGCCCCTCCACCATCTCGTAGCCACTGTGGCAACGGCACTCGAAGCCGCCCTCTGTGTTGAGGCACTCCTGGTCGCAGATGCCCGGCTTGGTGGCGCAGTCGTCCACATCCTGGCAGCTGCTGCCATCAGCGGCCAGCTCATAGCCTGCGTCGCACATGCAGTGGAAGCCGGCGCCATCGGGCACGCAGAGGTGCTGGCAGGGYGCCCCGGCACAGAGCGACACGCAGGAGCGCCCGTCAGTACCCAGCCGCGTGCCAGGCAGGCAGGAGCAGCGCGGTCGCCCGTCCTTGTCCCGGCACTCCTCATCACAGCCACCGTTGCCCAGCTCGCAGGCCCAGGCGCCRGGGCTCTCGCGGCCCCAGCGCAGCCCCCCGTCGCTGCCGCTCTCCGCGCAGCGCAGCTCCAGCCCCAGCGCCGCGGCGCGCGCCACGCTGCCCGGCGGCAGGGCCAAGAAGTCGTTGCCGCGGGCGCCGAAGGGGGTAGCGTAGGTGACGTTGAGCGCGGCGGGCGCGCGCAGCTTGGGGCAGCTGTTGCCGTAGTTGAACTCGCAGAGGAAGCCGTCGGCGGGCGCCTCGCAGCGCCGCTCCTCCCAGCGCAGGTCCCGCGCCACGGCCACGCAGCGCGGCCCGCAGCGGCCCGGCGCCCGCCGCCAGTTCACGTAGTCGGTGCGGCGGTCGCCCGTGACCCACTGGAAGCCGCGCAGCCGCTGCGCCGGCTCGGGGCAGCCGTGCGGCAGCCGCAGGCCGAGCCACAGGGAGCCGCTGCGGTTCTGCAGCAGCAGCGCCAGCGCGTCCTCAGCCACGGTGGAGCGCACGGTCATGAGGTGCCCGCCGCGCCGCTCGCACGCCGCGCTCGCCTCGCTGAAGGCGGCCGGCTGCCAGAAGACGCTGAAGCAGTCGTGCTCCAGGCACTGCGTGCCCGACGGCTCCCCCGGAGGCTCCGACAGCAGCCCCAGCCCAGCGGCGGCCAGAAGCAGCAACGGCAGCAGGAGCCGCCGCATGTCGGGGGGCGGCGGCGGCGCCGGGAAATCTCTGTCATGCCTGGGCGCCCGGGCCGCGTCTTTATAAGAGCTGCGGCCCTCCCTGCCGCCGCTGCAGGAAGGAAGCGCCGCCGGGGCGGGCTGGAGCTGCACGGAGTGATTGCGGCAGCGGGGCGGCCCCTCGGGCGGCGCAGCGCGGCCGCCCCGCCAGGGCGAGGCCCCGGGACGGCGGATCCCGCACCGGGATCCCGGCCCCGCCGCCCCCGCGTCTGCCCGAGCAGCCGCCGCCCCCGCTGGGCGCCACAGTCTGCGCGGTGCCGCCCTCGGGGCCCCCCGGCTCCCGCTGCCCCCCGAGGGGTCCAGGGCAGCGGATGGGGGAGCCAAAGCTGAGGGGCGCTTCCCCTACCACCCCTTCCCCCACCATCAGTGATTCCCGCTGGGCACCCGGAGCAGAGAATGGCCCAGGCATGTCCCGTCCACCCTGCCCCACACAGGGGACCCCTCAGGTATGTGTATGTTGGGGTGGGTGGACAGGACACCTGGAGCTTCAGGTGGTTCCTCTGCACAGGGCAGGTTTGGAGCTGGCTCTGCCGCAGCCATGTTCCAGCAGGATCCACAGGAGCTGGAAAAGGGCAGGGAGCCCTGGCTCAGARTGAGGGCTCTGCCTGCTCACCAGCCACATCTGCCTCAGTACCCTCGCTGGGTACAAGATAGGGCTGCTGCCCTTTTGAGGAGCTCAGCGAAGTCCAGATGAAATACAGCCAGAAGGGTTGAGAACTAGAGTCGGTAGCTCTGCAGGGCACTGTATGGAGTGGGGGGAAAAAAAGTGCCTCCAAAAGTTTCTGTACATCCAGCTTTCCAATGCTTCAAGGCAGCTTTGAGGATGTGGACTTGGGTGGAGGAATCATTGGTCTCCTCCTAAAAACGAGGRCCAAAAACTAGAGGGAGAGTGACTTTCTGTAGGTCACCCAGGGAGCACAATCAGGCCATCCGGAGCCCAGCTTGGTTTCTTCCCAGGTGGTGGGATCAGACCTGGGTCTATTGGCGTCCTCCAGCCTGAACCACTGCTCACTCTGCCTGTCTTGGAATTTATTTTTTCAGTGYCTTGATTCCACGTTAGCTATTTTTGCTTTCTCCAAGGGAGGCTGCTTTGCCATTTCAGGGAAARCTTTTCAATCCCACGGACAATTCCAGGGAGCCCTCTGGAAAAGCAAAGAGCAAACCTTCCTAGAACATACCCTGTGTCTAGTTTTCTTCTGCGCCAACGCCTCAGGCCAGGTGTCTTGCAGCTGCCTGCGCTGGGAGAGCAGAGCCGGCTCTGTTCCCATTGGAGCGTGCCATGTGCTGCTGTGCTCCGAGCCTTTCCCAAGGCCAATTCGCCACATCACGTTTCACGCAGCACGGTGCCAGCACAGCGCTTTCCTCTTGCCYTCACGGAGGGGTTACAGTCAGCAAACAGAGAAACTGAGGCATTGAGAAGGCTACGTGCTCAGCTTAGAGCCCTAAGCTCTAGCTTAGGCAGCAAGGAAGCTGGCACAGCAATGGGGAGGGACACACAGTTTTTAGCCAATGCTCTGTTTTGATGTCCCTCAATGTCCTCCCCTCTAGGAGGAGGAAGCAACCCTGGCTATTCCAGTGAAGGACAACACTTTTGGCYGTGCAATAACTGAAGCATAAGACAAGCCCCTTAGTTTTGCACCTTGGATGCAGCAAAGATGAGGACACGAAGGGCAGATAACCTTGCCGGTGCTTCCATTGACTTCTTCCCACTGCCCTCCTGGATACAGGGTGGTCCCCAAGGTCCAAACTTCCCCGAATCCACCCAAGCTCAGAAATACTCAGGAATGCCTCTTTCCCCACCCCGCCTCTCACAGCCGGGAACATTTGCTGAAGACATTAAGCCGCGGCCTGGCTAGGATGGCAGTAATTCCCGTCGTTCCTGCGTGCCTGGTGGAGGGAGCCCCACTTGCGAAATGCCACTTTGGGCACAAAAAGTGCAGACCCTCAAATCCACCCCTCACGGTTTCCAACCCTGAAGTCTTCTATGGGTCTAGACCACCAGGTCTTACATGTGACTGCTCAAGTGCAGTGAGATCAGTGCCCCAAGAGGGGAAGATGGCTGCCAGGCAGAAGCACCCTGCTCCTGCTGAGCGGGCTGGCTTGGAGGGGCCAGGGCCACCGTGTGCRAGGGGCCTTCCTGGGAAAACAGCACATTCCTTCATGGGAAGGACAGGCACGATCCATGGTGATTCCCATCTCCGACAGCAGATGGCATTTGATAGGGAATTTTGGGGGGAGGCCGGGCTGAAGGCTCACAGAGGCTGTGAAGGCCCTGCACCATCGGGAAGAAGCATCTGCTCTGATTTCTGCTGGGTTCTGCTTCTGGAAAGAGCCGTTACAGTATCCCTGCTTTTTCTGTATGTTTGTGTTTGTTTTGTTTTGTTCTGCTGGAGTAGGAAGGGACTCTGGAAAGCAGTTCCTTTTAATAGAAAGATTTGGTGTTAATGGCTGTCTTCACCCCTGTCTGTGCTTTACAGTTCACAGGGGAGGTGAGGGAAGTTGGGATACCCTGGGCTCTGCCTCCAMGCTCCTGGTTACCCAAATGAGCAGAACAGATGTGGGCAACCCAGTTTGACCTGAGCCATGTTTTTTTTTAGGAAATGTCTGAATTTTTCATAACCCTTGCAGTATATAACAGARCTGTGATCAGTGCAGAACACCTGGGGATGGCACACACAGCACACTAGAATCTTCCCCTGCTCCCTCCTTCCTGTGGAGCAATTTCACTTATATTCTTATAACACTTTTTCCTTTCAATGTTTTTACATTGGTAGGATCCACCTGCATGATCAGAACATACCCAAGAGCAAAAGAAAGATGAAAAACAAACATCTGGGGCTTAGTCATTCAAATAAAAGGGTATTTGATCCCATCTTCAATTTAGAAAGCGTCTCTTTTACCGTAAAGCTTAATCACAGTGTTGGCCCTCAAGATCCCCTACAGAGCAACAAATCATTTTACTTTTTCTATTTCATTCATTCCAATGAAGTTACATGCTTAAATGCTCACTTTTTTACATTTTGCCCCTTTCTGTCCCTGTCTGGTTCACATAGCTCACTGGAGGCTGTTGATGTTGATTCCTGCGTGCGAAAAAAGAGAGCTGGGGAAAAGTAATTAATAATTGTTTTTAATAATATATTAATAATACTAATTAAYGATGGCCCTAAACTCTGCCTTTAGGCCATCTGCAAAGTGAACCTGATGGGAAGAGGCTAYCCTTTATCCTTCATCTTATTCTCTGTCAGATGTCTCTCCTGGTCCCTCTCTCAGACCTCTTCCCATAACCTTGTCCATCATCCTGTCTCTGGCTAGAGGAATTACTAGGAAATGCTGTTTGTTACCTAAGACTACATAGGAGAGATGGACAGGTGCTAACATGGCCTGCAGAGCATTGCAGTTTATCATGAAATTATTACCTAGGCTTTACTGGAAAAGCTTATTTTCCCTCAGCCCTAACCTTCCCCAGTCCATTGATTTCAAACCCACTGYATTTATGCATTCATTTCTATAGTAGTAACATTGATGGTCTTTTTACAGAGCCTTCAGGTGCCTTCAGGTGTTGTGCTTTCTTAATGGCTTTTTAATGAGAGATGCCCTATAAGCTAGGGAGAGAGCAGCAAATCCTGCTTCCGGAGAGCATCAGGAGCAGGTTTTATCAGTCAGATCTCCAGAATGGCACTGACTGACATAGCCCAAGGCACTATGGACGAGTGATGAAATGAAAGGTATTGGCAAATGTTCTCCTCACATCCTTCATTTTGTCACCTTGTGGCTTCAAGGTGGACAACCAATACACATGTATCTGTGCTGGAGCTGGTGGCAGTGAGAAGAGCTCAGATCTCTTTGCTGGTGCCCATTGGTGCTTGTTAGACTGTCCTGAGGATACAGTGCAAGTAGCACCTGTTAAGCGAGGCTGGCCACTGCCTTTTTCCACATAAACTTTCATTAAGCAAGAAAGCTTTTGTGGGAACTGTCTTTAATTTTATGTATTTTTTTCTTTGAAAAAAAAAAAAAACCTAAGAATGTCATTGAGAAGTGAAAGGAATACTTCATAAACAGGTCAAATCCATTGTTTTGAATTTAAGTTTGGCACTGGCAGAAAATGCTTTTTTCACCCACACTCCACAAACTTTCAAAGCAATTTACACCCACTTGAAAATTTCAGATCTAACAAGGGACATGTTTGTGCATTTTAATTTTGTCAGCACAGATTTACTCAAGTTAGGAAAAAAAAAAGGTTAAGATTAAGATAGGATTTTTACCCCTGAACTAGCTATGGCCTTCTGATGCAGGTCAAGCACATTTTCTCCAAAGTCAATGCTAGGGCAAAAGCTGTGGCTAGGTCAGGATTAGTAAGCTTGACCTAGAGCTACCATCTCTTCTCTCTTGGCATATATCCTGGAGATCTTGGTCCTCCATGGGTGACTTAACACCACCACTTATTCCTTTGCAAAGAAAGGACAAATCGGACAGTGCATTGACTCCCCAGTCAAAGCAAATGCCAGTCAGTCRCTTAACATAATCGTTCATTCAGCAAGAGCTCAGCTCCCCTTAAGCATTTCATCCACTATGTGGTCCGGAAAGGGAGCAGAGCCAGGGCTAGTTCATGAAATGTTCAATCAAGATGCCTCCAAGAGATTTCCTAAAGGAGAGTGGTTCACTGACTCTTTGCAGCACTGATATTAGGTATAAAGAAGAAAGATCTTCTGTTTTCTGGTTTTCATTTTGTTTCTCTTCACTTCTTAGAATTTCTTTTTCTCGTCCTTTTTTTTTTTGTGTGTGTGTGTTTTCAGAAGAAAACCCATCAAAATACAGGGTGAGGAGAAAAAATAAATGAAAAAAAATACAGAATATAATCAATGGGGAAAAAATAATAGATTTGGACTCACCTTTTTAAGCAATTATAAAACATATAAATTTCCTTTTCAAGCTGGCAGAATGAAAAATATTTCAAAAGAAAATAAAAAAAATAGTGTTATCAAAAGAACAATTTCCCTCATATTGTGAG